AACCAGGCATGATGGTGCACAGCTGTAATCTGAGTACTCGGGACACAAGCAGAAGGATTGCTGTGAGTTCAAGGCCAGCCTGAACTACAAGGCCAGTCTCTGTCTCAAAACAAACAAACACGAAATGTAAAGAGTTATCCCCGGTTTGAGGCTGAGGAGAAGTTTCCACAAAATTTAAATTGAGACGTTAAGGACTGCCAATATGATTTAGAGTAAATATTTACCATGCAACTCTACAACTCTAATCACAAAACTTTTATTTTCCTTTTCATCTCTTTCTCCTTCTTCTCCTTCTTTATCCTCTTTGTCTTTTCCTTCTCTTTTTTCTTCCTCCTCTTTTCTTTCTTATTCTTCCTTTATTTTTACCAGTTTCCTCTTCTTTCTCTTCTTCCTTCCTCTCTTGATCCTCCTCTTTCTCGTCTGCCTTTCTGCTCCTCTTCCACGTTCTCCTTTTTCTCCACATCCTTACTCTCCTCTTTCTCTTGCTCCTTCTCCTCTTCTTTTCATACTTCTCCTCCTGTGGCTCCTCGTTCTTCTCCGTTTGTGGAGCTAAGGGTTGAACGCAGGGCCTCACACATGCTAAGCCCACACTGTTCTACTGAGTCAGATCCTCAGCCTTACTGCGTGATTTATTATTAAGCCAATTTGTAAGCTGATCTGACTCAGTGGGAGAAGACCACAACATGTTTGGACCTCTTCCACCATTCCATATCCAGGATTCTCGACCTCACTCTCATTCTCTTGTGTAAATCCGAGTTGCTCCACAGTGCCAATTTCAACTTCAATATTAAGATGATCCCTTTTTTGATTATTAAAAAGCCCCATATACCTAAATCAGAACATTGACCTTTCATTCAATTCCAAGCATTTTTCTTTCCCACAAATGATTAAATGCCTTTACCTGCCAGGAAAGAAAGACAGACTTCTAAAAATACTTTTGGCAAACTGTAAAAATTTCAGTGCCACAGAAGGTTTATGAGCACCCTCCGAGTAAATCCTTTGACATCTGGAATTTAAAGCTCTCTGAAAAATGCTGCCTCTTAACCTCATTGCTTTAAGACCTGGTTTCAAGGCCTTGTTGCAACATGGTCTTCAGTCAGTTTTTAATTTTGTTACTTCCTTCTTAATTAACAGAGGAATCCAAGAATCTGCATACATTTGGAAAAAGCTTGCAATATGATCAAAGATCAATACATAAACATTTTTTCATAAATCAGGCACATACATAAGTATCACATTGTTAGTCAGATATGAGAGATCAAAAAGGAAAATACGCTTCAAAATGTATAATAAATATTGAGAAATAGAAAGAAAATGCTAAACTAGGAAGGGGATCAATGGAGAGGGAGGAATAAAAAGAAAGAAGAAAAAAGAAAAAATGGAATAGAGGGAAAAATTAGACACAAAGCTTTTATAAATTAGAAGGAAAGGCAAGTTCAGTGCAAGGGAATGCACAGGGTGACAAAGGAGCCATCAAAACAGATCGTGGATGTGATCATTATATACATTTAACACTTACCACTAGAATTAAGTATAAAAGTATACAGACACGGATTCACCCAGAAAAAAAAAAAAACTACAGACCAGTTTCCCTAATGATCATAGATACAAACATTTTTAATAAGATATTGACAAACAGAATGCAGCAAAGCATCAAGAAGATTATATGTCATACCAAACAGGATTCAATCCAGGAATACAAGCATGTTTCTACATGTTAAAATCAAAAATGTAGCATAACATATTAACAGAACCAAACACAAAAACACATGATCATCTCAATAGATGCAGAAAAAGCATTTGACAAAATTCAGCATCCATTCATGATAAAAAATAAAACTAGAGAAAATCAGAATACTTGGTCTTTAATCTCTATTTGATAAAACCATCTACAGCAAACCAATAGCCAACATCATACTAAATGATCAAAACCTGAAGGCATCCATTCTAAAATCAGAAACAAAACAAGGATGTCCACCATTACCACTCCTGTTCAATATACTTCTGGAAACATTAGGCAGAGCCACAGACAGGAAAAAAAAAATGAAAGGAATACGGTTAGGAAGGGAAGAAGTTAAATTACCATTATTTGAAGATAACATATTACTCTGTGTAGAAGACCCCAAAAACTCTATCAATCCACTTCTAGATTTGCTAGCCAAATTCAGAAGCATAGCTGGATAAAAAGTCAACAATCAAACATTTATAGCATTCCTGTACACAAGCAAAAATCTCTGAGAGACAAATAGGGAAACCACACCCTTCACAGCAGCATTCAAAAATGAAATACTTAGAATCAATCTGACAAAAGAAGTAACATACCTATACATTAAAAATTAGAGTACCCTAAAAAAGGAGATTGATTAGGATTTCAGAACATGTAAAGACAACCCTAGTTCATGAATAGGAAGAACCAATATAGTGAAAATGGCACCAGACCCAAAATTGTTATGCAGATTTTATCCAATTCTGATCAAAATGCATTAGTGTACCTCACAGATCTAGAGAAAATATCCCTAACATTCATATGTAGCCACAAAAGACCTACAATGGCCAAAGCAATCCCAGGAAACAAAGGCAAGTCAGGGGGCCTCACAAACGCTGACTTGAAATGATACTACAAGGCTAATGTGATAAAATTAGCATGGCACTGGCAAATTAAAACAGGTGAGGATTGATAGAACAGAATGAAAAATGCAGACTCAGTCACATTATCTTTCACAAATGGGCCAAACAGGTTCACTGAAAGAATGATAGCCTCTTGAATAAGTGGTGCTGGAAAAACTGGTTCTCCACATACTGAATATGAAAACTAGAACCACATTTATCACTACTCACTAAACTAAGGCAAAATGGAACAAATATCTAAATATTAAAAGAGAAAAATTAAATCTTCTGGAAGTGAAAATACGTAGAAATCTTGAAGTTATAGGTATAGGCACAAATTTCACAAACAAAATCCAGATGGCATGGGAAATACTACCAAGAATCAACAAAAAATGGGGTCTTATTTTATTTAAAAAAACTTTTGCAAATAAAAAAATCACCAACACAGTAAAAGACAACATAGAGAATAGGAAAAATATCATACACAATTATCCTTCAGACAAAGCATTTACAGAACATATAAAAAACTGAAAAATCACAACCCCCAAATTTAAAGACCCAATCCAAAAATAGGTATCTGAGATGAACATGTTCTTCTCAGAGGAAGAAATACAAATGGCAAAGGAATATAAAAATGTTCAGCACCGGTGGTTATTTGAGAGATGGAAATTAAAACAACATTGAGATGCCATCTCACTGCAGAAAAAGTGACTGCCATCAAGAAATCAACCAATGACAAATGCTGGAAGGGTGGTGGAAAAAAAGAATTCTTCACTGTTGGTGGTGGTGCAGACTGGTACAAACACTATGGAAATCAGTATGAATTTTCTCATAACTAGCATTAGAATTCCCATTTTTTGATCCACCTGTTCCTCTTCTGGGTATCTTCGCAGAACTGAAAGCATCATACCATAGCAATATAAATGCACTCACATTTATAGAAACACAATTTGTAATCTTGGAAGCAATTCAAATGCCCACCAACTGAGGAATAAATAAAAAAGATAAGGTCTTTTTATACAACAGAATACTACTTGGCCATAAGGAAAAAAAATCTTGAGACTTTATGGGTAAATGAACTCAAACTGAGGCCATACTCATAAGTGAGACCAACCAGATTCATGTAAACTTCATGTTGTTTTAACAGTGTGAGCTGCTGAAAGTGTAACTAAGAAGCAAAATATACAATAGACATTGTGAAATGAGAAGAAACTGTTCAAATGGAAGGAGAAATTGGGATGAGGGAAAGGAGAATAGAAGGAAGGGAAATGAAAAAAGTGCAGGGCACCTGTCCACACTCTGGAGAACCAAACAATGCAGCTGAGGGCCTTGATCTCACAGCAATGTACTACATAAGTCCAGCTGAAGACCTAAAGCCCTTGGCAATGTCCTCCACAAGTTCAAGCAGAGGCCTCAAGCACAGGACAATGTCTCATGCGAGTCTGTATGAAGGGTCTGCATTGGGAAGCCCCAGAGGTCAGTGAGAGAAGCTAGAAAATCCTCACAGCAGGATGAAGGATCTGTGCCAGCAGGCTGAGGGATCTGCACTGGGGCCAGGATTAAGGACCAGAGTAAGGACCAGAGCTCCCCCAAAGAGAACCATAGCCACCCTCAGTGACGATGAGAAACTCAGTTCCTCTGATGATGAGAGCAACTGAGTTCATATCAGGAAAGCCAGCATAGCCAGCATCTCCAAGAGAGTCAACAGCAGCACATCCTCTCCTCCAGGTCTCTTTTCATGCTGCAGGGAACGACGCTCAGGTGGGCCATCCACACTCAGATCCACATTGATTCAGCTGTGTGTTATAAGCTGGCCATTAGTTAATCCACCACAATCAGAATCCAGTCTCCTCTATCCCTTCCACATCATCCACAAATGGGCAGTGAGACAGAAGGACAGAGAAAGACAAGCAGCAGAGAACTCTAAGAAGACACATGGAATCCAGCTTGTTGATACGTGAACATGGTCACAGAAATATATAAAATTTTTATATAACAGTAACCAGAAAAGCAAAATTTTTCAAAACCTAAGAATCTGTATTTTCTACATTTTGTATGGTGTGGATATGAAGTAGGTGTAGTACTGGATGTGCACATGTGTAGTACATGGATGTGTGTCTATGTGCAAACTGAGGCACACCAGCACACTGCAGAGAAAGCTGGTAAAACCCATGAGTCTGCCATCTGCACAGCTGAGTGGGAAGAGACAATGATGGGATAAATTCATTGCACCATACTCCTTCTCAATTTTGTACCATTTTTTCAATTCTCCATGTAAATTAAATATGTTTAAAAATAATTAATAGGAAGGTTTAAATAGCATAAGAATTAATTTACAAACACTCAAAAATTGGAAAAAGAAGGTTTTAGAAAGCCCTACTTTGGGGCTTCTTCTGGGCATGACTGTCACCTAACAGCAGGATACTGCACAGGTGCAGGGCCAGATGACTCACTGTGCATCAGCCACGATGCAGTAGTAGACAGCAGTGTCTCTCAGAGCAACCCGGGGCAGGCTCAGGGTGCTGGACTTCCTGTCTTTAGGGATAAACAGAGATGCCACTCCATTGGCCACGTCTGTCTTATACCCTTGAATAACAAACTGTGGTCCCTGGAGGTGGGCTTGTCGGTACCAGATGATGTTCTCATTTGTAGCGATGTTGGGGTGGATACAGGACAAGTTCACCTCTTGTCCCTCATAGGAGTCCATGGAGATGGGCTGAGTGGTCTTAGCAAGGCTCCCAGTACCTGTGGGAGTAAACACAATGCTGGTGCATGTGTTGGAATGAGGTGGTTAGAAGCCCCCCATCCCCACTCCCCACTGTTTCTCACAGTTGAATCCATCCCACCCATGACTTCTCCATCACACAGTTTACTTCTCACTTGTGTTCCAGGATAAAAATATTCTTCTTATTCATTCCAGAAGGCTCAGCGTTACTTACACAGAGTTAAGATCTTACTTTCTCCCTCCCATGCGTGAACCCACAAATCAGTAGTCCAGAGTAACTTTACTGGCCAAAATCAGCTCTCATATAAAGACTTAGAAGCTTCCAGGAGAAAAACAGGACCCAACACTTTCTCTCAACATCTTGGATAAACAGCAATTGGAAGCAGGACAGAATAAACACTTCTGTTCAACATCCTTAGCTTCAGATCCAAACCCTGAACTCAAAAGGGAACCAGGGACATAGTATTGCAGCCACTTCCCTGGCTCACTCTAGCAGCTGTCACCTGGGGCTGTCCTTAAGAGAGCACCACCCACCAGGCAGCAGAGCAGCAGAGTGCAGCTTCCCTGCAAGATTCAGCTGCTGCCCAGGAAGAAGAGGGATGAAATCTGCCAGTACAAGGGCCCAGGAGCCCATATTTCATTGGAGATCTTTCCTGAGGTCTAACTACTTAGAGAGTTGGCAGATAAATGACAGATAGATAGATAGATAGATAGATAGATAGATAGATAGATAATTACAGATACTTCAGCAATAAAGAAGGGTAAATTGGAGTCCTTTGTAGGAAAATGAATGTATCTTTAAGACCATAATGCTGAGTAAAATAGATCAGACACAGATGATTAAATGTCATGTGGTTTGTCTTATATGATAAAATATAAATAATTTAAAAAGCAAAATAAAATAAAAATTATAAGAAACAGATTTTGTGGAGATGGAGGTGGGGTCTAAGAATACAAGAGACAGGAAGAGGGGGAAAGAAAAGTGAAAAGTATCAGAAAGCAACACATATATGCAGCAGTGTCTCACAATGAATATATTATTTATGCATCATAAACAAATTACTAAACAGGTAAATATTTATGTAAGGCTAAAAATGCAGAAGAATGTATTTCAAAAAGCTACAGGATTTTTTTTAATATTTTTACCACAAAAATAATAAATATCTAAACAGAGGTAAGTTTACCTTGATTTAATTAAACATCACACAATTTATTCCTATATCAAAACATCATGTGGGTATTCCATAAACATGTATAATTTTATAATTTAATGCATCAACCAAGAATAATTTAACTCAAAAAGAGTACAAAAAGAATTGAAGATATTTTATCTACATGCACAATTCCCAAGAACAATATAATCGTTACATCCTGCAAATGTACTAATCAAGCTTTTTTAAAATAAATAAATAAACACAGTACAAGCTCAGTAACACAAAAAGAAATTTTTAAAAACCAGGCATTTGGAAAAAGCGCCATATCCAAAAGACACCATTCCGTTAAGGAGTCAGCAAGGTGCTGTGATAAACATGCTAGATACCCATATTAATGTGGAAAAGCACTGTGCAGTTTGGGTTCTTTGCCCACATAGTGCAGAAATGGAGAAAAAACTGGAAAATACTTGGGACACGCTTCTTTGTTAGGTTAAGATTTGTTCACAGTATTCTAAATGAAAAGCAACTTTCCATTTCCCCGTAAAAAGAGTAGTAAATATTAATGGCTTCTAGCAATCTTTGGCCAAAAAAAAACAAAAAACAAAAAAAAACGATATCACAAGAAATAATAAGCAGTTTGCCCTCAGTATGAAGCAGAGGAGAAGGAAGTATTTAAGAGGGAAATGAAGAGAAAATACAGGTTGCCTGCAAATGAAACATGGAAGGGTTACACTTCAGAGTCAACTCATTGCAGCAGCGCCCCCCTGTGGTAACAGCGCTCAGACAGAGGAAATGTTTCCCAAGGTGGGACCCACACTCCTGCAACCTATGGCACGTTGCCTAGGGTTCCTTTTGCTGGGTGGGTAGCAGGCAGCGTGGCTTGGTTTTACGGAGTGTGGAGTGTACTTTCTGTAACGTAGGAGGAACTGAGTGAGCAGTCAGACATCTGAACTGTAAAGTCTCCACTCTTGATAGCTGTGTGATTTTGTGCAAATCACTTACCCTCTGAGAGGTGCAGTTTCTTCATTTCTAAGAGAAATTATAAAGATCAAATAAAGGAGCACAAGTAAGCTTTTTCTAAATTCAACTGTTCTATAAATTAAAACTATGTTTAATGATGAAAATATCACTAGACAAAATGACTTAATTTTAAAAACAGCAGGGGGAGCCTGCACTTCTGTGTGGTCACCTGTTGTCTCAGGTAGGAGGCTCTCAGGTAGGAGGCCATGGCTGATGGTAAGCAGCAAGAAGATGAAACAGCCAAAGTTTTCTGTGCTTAGCCTGGGGAGTGTAAGTGATTGATAATAGGAGCATGTGTTATTTCCATAGTTACTCTCTCAGCGAGTTGTTTGTGTACAGGAATGCTAATTTTTGAGTGTTGATTTTGTATCCAGATTTTCTGCTGAATTATCTTATTAACTCTAGTAGTAGTAGTAGTAGTAGAATTTTGGGGATTTTATATGTGGAGTATCGTGGTAGAAATCATACATAATTTCAAAAAAAAACAATAAGAAATCACTAATGGATAAATTACATATTGTCCTCTTAGAAATAGTTGTTCAAGTTACAGAAGTAAGGCATACAAAGTGGACATTCAAACAGCGAAACTGCAAACAGTTCTGTTCAATGATGCAAAAACTTAACAATATGGTGATCAATCCTATACCAGTAAACATACATGCAGCTATATACTTTAGAGCACTTTCCTTTCCTCTCTTTTTACAATAGAAATTACACATTTTGAGTTTTATTACTCCTACATTTGTTATTACTTTTTATACTAGAGACAATGTAATATTTATAAATATGATTCTTATTTATTTTACTAGTCTCAAGTTGTCTCCATTTACCTATGAAGGCCTGAAGATCATCCTTTCTTATAGCTGTGTAATATTCAATTGTATAAACATACCACATCTGTTTCATCAATTCTTTAGTGGATGGGGATCTTGGTGGTTTCCAAGATTTAACTATTACAAATTGTACTGCTATGAACATGAGTGGCACGTATATCACTGTGATATGACATTTTCAGATTGTCTGGGAAAATACCCAGGAGGAGAATAGCTGGATTGAATGGAACTTCCAATCCTAGTCTTCTGAGAATTCTCCACACTGATTTCTGTAGTGATTGCACCAGTCTACACTCCCGCCAACAGTGGAGCAGTGTTCCTTTTTCCCCCGCAGCCTCGCCAACATTTGTTATGAGGTCATTTCTTGATGCTAGCTATTCTTTCCAGAATGAGATGAAATCTCAGTGCTGTTTTAATTTGCATTTTTTGAATGACCAGTGATGGTGAACATTACTTCATTTATTTATTTGACATTTGTATATCTTCATTTGAAAACTGTGTGTTAATCTCAGATGCCCATTTTTGGAGAGGGTCTTTGAATTTGGGGAGCTTGCTGTTTTTCAATTCTTTATATGTTTTGGATATAAGTCCTATGTCTGAGGGGTTGCTGGCTAAAATTCTTTCCATTTTGTGGGTTTTTTTCACTCTGTTGATTCCTTTTGAAATGCAAAAACTTCTCAATAATATGAAATCCTAGTTATTAATTCTTGGAAGTGTTTCCCATGCAAATTGCGTGTTTTTACTTTTATGAATTCTCTGCTTATCCCTGTGTCTCCAAGATTTCGAACTACCTTGTCTTCTAGTAGATTTACTGTTTCTGCATTAATATTTAGGTCTTTGATCCATTTAGACTTTAGTTTTGTGCATGGTGAATGGTATGGATCTAGTTTCAGTCTTTGGCATGTGGAGACTCAATTTTTCCAACACCATTTATTTTTTTATTTTATTTTTAAAAAAGATTACGATAAAAGAGGACATAACAACAAAGGTCAGAATAGAACAATCTAAGCAACATACTGTTTTACCACAAGACAACCCAACACAACAATAGTTACCATCAGTGTCTCTTTCCTTGAAATATTTGAGTATATCTTCATATATTATAGTATCAAACATAGCAAGACAGTCTAAAAGCATTCAAGAGAATGAAAGTATTACAGGGTATTCAGAATCAACTAATAGAAAATGAAAAATGTTTAATGTATAATCTCCTTGTCCATAAAAACTTTTGTTTATACTATCATATGTAACAAAATCCAATAAGGTACAACATGATAAAACTGATGAGACAGAAGAACAAAAGCTTGGTGGGACTTCAAACCAAGATGATATTAAATCACCACTAGCTATTATAATATCTTGTTTTCTTCAAAATACCTGTTCATACCATCACAGACAATAAAATCAAACAACCCATAATAAAACCATTCCAACTAATGAATGAAAACATTAGAAGGTTTCAAAGCAATATAATAGGAAATCATGATTACCACATACTTTTATGTATTCTTACCAATTCTTACATTAGGAAAACTATTCAGTATGTATACATGTGCATTTGATTTATTTCACTTAGGAGTATAGTCTCAAGCTGCATCCATTTATTTATAAATATCTCAATGTGACCCTTCTTTACAGCTGAGTAATACTCCTTTTTATAAAAATACCACAGCTTTTTTATCCATTCCTCAGTTGATGAACACTTAGGTTGTTTTCAAGATCTGGCTATTACAAATTGTGCTGCTATAAACATGAGTACACAGATACCATTGTGGTATGATGTTTTCTATTCTTCTGGGAATATGCGTAGAAGTGGAATTGCTGGAACAAATGGGACTTCCAACCCCTGCTTTTTGAGGAATCTCCAGACTGACTTCCACAATGGTTGCACCAGTTTACACTTTCACCAACTGTGCAGGAGAGTTCCTTTTTCCCGATAGCCTCTCCAGCCTTTGTTGTTGGTAGTTTTCTTGATCCTGTTTCTGGAGGGAGATGGAATCTCAGTGTGGTTTTACTTTGCATTTCTCTAATGAGTAATGATGAGGAACATTTTTTCATGTATTTATTTGCCATTTTATTTCTTCCTCTGGGAACCATGTGTTCATCTCAAATGCCCATTTTAGGGTTGGATCTTTGAATTTGGGGGGCTGATTTTTTTAATTCTTTATATGTTTTAGACAGAAGACCTTTGTCTGAGGGACAATTCTGTAAGATTTTTTTCCAAGTTTGTGGGTTTTTCACTGTGCTGGAGATTTATTTTGACGCACACAAACTTTTTAATAAGAAGTGATCCCAGTTATTGATTCTGGGAAGTATTTCCCATCCAACACCATTTATTAAAGAGGCTATCCTTCGTCCAGTGAACATGTTTATCCACCTTGTCAAATATCAGGTGGCTGAGTGCTTTTGTAGTTGCGCTTGCATCTCCTAATCTGTTATTTTGACTCTCAGGCCTATTTCTTTATCAGTACCATGCAGATTTTATCACTGTGGCTTTGTAGTATACTTTCAAGTCAGGAATTGTGATGCCTCCTGCTTTGCCTTTGTTGCCCAGAATTGCCTTTGATGTTCTAGGTTTCTTCTGTTTTCAAATGAGTTTTGGGAGTCTTTTCTCTAGATCTGTGAGG